GGCACCAGAGCTCTCTGACAGAAAAGGCTCAATGTCTCAGAAAAAAAAAAAACAATTCCCATGACTCCCTAGCACTGAACCAGGGCAGTGCCTCAATTTAATGTGCACTATTTCTGGCAGTCTGCAAAGGCCCTTAGTTCAGTAATTTTCACATCTAGTGAGAGTTCAGGCTGGGTTTGCTGTAGGACACATTGATGGGTTTTATTTGGCATTTTTCTTGAATTCCCAATACTTTATGACATACTCCAATATGACTATATGCATGCTCAGTTATAAGCAAATAAATATATATGCATACAGATATGCAACCTGTGTACATAAGATTGTAGACATGTAGAATATTATTTGTAAAAAACTTCTTTCATCTTGGAATGTGTTTCTACCAGCAGATCTTTTAAAATCATTAAATATTTTAGTATTGTGACTGTAATTGTTTTTATTTATATATTTATTTTTACAATTAGTACAGTTCACCAATGTTAAAACCAAGAATTTAAAATATCTCACATATAATATTAGTATGAAGTCAGAGGCTCCTCTATAGATTCAACACAAAAAGTGTACTCCATTCATTCATTTTGCCTGTTATCACTGAAAGAGCAAATCATAGCACAACTATTCTTTATTTATATACAATACAGTAAACAGAATCTGAGAATGAGACTTACACTGAAAGGAAAAGAGAAACGATATTTCTTCTTTAAATATAATATTGTATATCCAAATTTCCTGAGTTTTTTAAGGTTTGAATATGGCTTGCAGTTATTATTTCATTCTCACAAATACTCTTACGTGATCTTTTTCCTCAAGAGTTCATTTAGGAAGCTGTATAGTTTTACTTCCTCTCTTCTATTTTATCTTATCTCATCACTTCTTGATGTGAACAGAAGTTATTTTGCAACAATATCTAAAAGCTCTAAATATGTGAGCCCCATCTTTAGTGGCTGCTGAATGCATTAAGGTTGCATTGGCTTTCTGTACATTTCTTCCAATGCCTTTTGTGTTTGTGTACCTTGGTAGTTCATTACAGATATTTTCCCCAGCATCGTACAATGTCAAGAATAAGATCAAGAGGAAAGGTATTAATGACTGATGTGCTTGACCTGTGGTCATATTCTATGCTCACATATTCTCAGGATTTGTGCTCTTGTTCTTCTGTTGGGACCCACACATATCATCTTCTGGTGCTTTAACCAGTTCATCTCTGCCCTTGAAATTTATTGGGAGGAATGTCTGTGGTTAGACCCAAATATTTCAGCACGGCTTTTATTTCCAGATCTCTACTCCTGCAACTCTTTAAAACTGTTTAGGAAAGAGATCCATTCAGTCTAACATAAAGAAATGTGCTCTCATGCTATATTCCTGATCTATACTGTGGGATTATGGGATTTATATTAGTGGGAGGGCAAAGTTTTCTGCATACTTAATGCCCTGGTAGTGTTGACCGGTTGTCAGTGAACCATTTATCAATGCCTGAAGTGTAGCAGTAGCTGGGCTTCCAAAACTCTAATAAGATCTCCATTCTGGGATTTCTTTTTAAAAATTCTTCTTCTTTTTTTAAAAAAGATACCGTAACACTTTAGTTCATTGCAACATTCCTTCAACTCTTAAGGCCTAAGTAGACTGCCAGAAATAGTGCACATTAAATTGAGGCACTGCCCTGGCTCAGTGCTAGGAAATCATTGGAACTGTATTTTTTTCTAGGACATTGAGCCTTCTCTGTGAGAGAGCTCTGGTGCCACAATAAATTACAGTTCCCATGATTCCCTAGCACTTAGCCAGGGCAGTGCCTCAATTTAATGTGCACTATTTCTGGCAGTCTGCTTAGGCCCATAGTTGTGCCAGAACGATGACTTTTAATATAAGCTCATATAACTCAGGGAAATATTTGAAAGAAAAAGAAATAAAGAAGATAACATCAATTTTGTAGGTTTGGGGAAAGTTACTTTTTTGTGAACTTGACCATGCTGGTTGTGAATCCTTAGCATTCTAGTCCAAAAAAGTAACTTTTCCTGGTTTCATTGCTTAATGTGTTGCTATAGTGAACCAGGAGAAACTTTAGTAAAAGAAGTGGCATTTGAGAAGATTGAAAAGAAAGAAAACCATTGAAATAAAAGCTTTTCAATATAGTATCTTACTTGCTAGGAATAGCTTCTTACCCTTGGCTTGCCATGCAATTCAAACTCTCCTGAATCTGATTGAGTTTCATTTCTTTCTGTGGCTGCAGCCTCTAAATGGCTTCTATAAAAGGAAGCAAGATGTGGTTGCTGGGAAGGTAGGTGACAAAGTTGTGGTCTCTGGTTAAAATAAAAAAAACACACACAGAGAGAAAGACTTTGTGTGATAACTAGAGTTTTTAAAACCCCAATAATTTGTTGGCATAGGCACTTTACATAACAGTGGTTGATTTCTTCCATGTCTGTGGGATGGTGACCACTTTTTAAATGGATGTTTAAAGAGTTGTTCAAGATTCTGAATTTATCTGAGAGGGCAGGGTTATCACCTTGGATATCTCTTTTAAATTTTGGAGCAGATTTGCTTCTCCTTTGCCATAACAATTATCAGTTGCAATTAAAAAATGTGGGGTAATTTAAGTTTCCTAAGGTTTCAGACTTTTTAGGGAAACCAAAATATTCAAATATCAAAATATAAAAGCCAAGCCTGTTAGAGTCTGACTTTAAAATAGAGTAGCAGATGAGTGATTTTGCCTAACTATGGGGCTGAACACACCACCCAAAAAGAACGGCGTTCCTAGTGCCCCTTTCAGTGCTGGATTGGGCCTTCAGCAACCACATGCCACATCCCTGATTTGGCAGTTTGCTGATCTAAAAAAGTGCTGCTCCTTTTTAGAGCGGCAAAAGGATGCCTTTGCCACCACCACAGTTTAAGATGAAGATTCCTAAGGCTTCAGCCTTTTTAAGAAAACAAAAATATTTAAATATCAAAATATAGAAGCCAAGCCTGTTAGAGTCTGGCTTTAAAACAACAGAGCAGCAGAAGAGTGACTTTGGCACTCAACAGATGGCTCCATGCTGCCCCTGAGAGCGCCGGATTGAGGCTGCAGCAACTGCACCCCGTAGCCCCGATCTGGCACTTTGCTGCTCTAAAAAGAGCTGCCAAATGCTGCTTCTTTTTAGAGTGGGAAAAAGCTGCCCTTGCTGCCAATGGCGGAGGCTTTTCAGTGCTCCTTTGGTGCAGTGTGTAGGAACGCTGTGCCAAGGGAGCACCCTGATGCTGCCCGTTGTCTATTTGGGTGGGTGGTGTGAGGACGACGTGGGGGCAGAGTTGGGGCAGCTGGCGTGCGGTTGCCATGCCCTCACTCCACCCCCAGGCTGGCCCTTGTGATTGGTCTGTACAGCCCCTTTGACTAACTATGCTTGTCTAAGAACTGATACTGACTAAAAACAACAACAAATAAGTAGTTTGTAGTTTAAAATCAAGTCTTTAATCTATGTTTACATAACAGGCTATATCCTAATCTAAATAGTGAATAGTTCAGATAGAGAGAAATATTTATCTCGCCATCTTTCCAAATGGAAGATGGAATAGCTCAGATGAAAATCTTGAGAGAAAGTCTGTTAATCCCAAAGAGGGAGTGACCTATGTCACATGGTTAGTTTGAATGAGAGAGAGAGAGATAGGGAGGAGTTTCCAAGCAGGAATCCATATCTATCTAAGAAGGGGGAAGATAATGCAAAAATCTTCCAACATAACTGAATAAAGAGAAGTTGAATATAAGCCTTAATTTCCCAACACTTTTTGAAAGATGGACACAGTAAAAAGATTCTAATGTTCTGCTGTACTGAACAAGTCCAGCACATAGGACCCCAACTAAATAGGACACACCCCAGTGAGAACCTTCCTGGATCCCCATTTTGTAAAACAGGATCCTGGAAGATCTCAATGAAAATTTGCATTAGACAGTAATGGATGAAGATTGTTGCAAATGTGAACCATACATTTGTACCAACCATTTAATAAAGATGATTGGCCATTATGTGTAACTTGGTCTTTACTTTACTTGGTCTTTAGTTTATTTTGTGAGTATTCTTGATATTTGTTGAAATTTACTTGTGGGCTATATGAAAAATTGTTCCTTTAGGGAATGGATGTGGTTTTCCCAGGTGCTGCTAAACTGCAACTCCTATCAACCCTAGCCAGCACCAGTATTTTCCCATCCTTGCTTTAGGGTAAAGACTACTAGTTTCCCATACTTGCTTTAGGGCAATAATAGTATGGCTACCATTGGGGTTACTAGTAATTAAACTCCACACCTGTCCCTTTTTTCCTTAGAGTTAAAAGAGAAGGAGCATTTTCTTCACATTTACAGTAAATTAGCACTTCCTTAGCTAACAATCTGTGTATTTGTTATGTTTATAAGTGGTTGTTGTATGTAATTTTCATTAGTATTGTTCTGCTGTACAGTTTTTAATTTTATGCTTGTTCTCTATTTAGGAGTGCTTGCAGACCATTAGAAGCCTGAAAGCTTTTGGTGCAGATGTTTATTTCCCCATAGTTCAACAGTTCTGAGTAAAGTGGAAATTTGGCACTTAGAAGAATCCAGGAAGATGATGCCAAAGGGTATGCTTTGTTTTTCTAACTGTTCATGAACTCACATTTGTTTGCTTGATGTATTCTTCTAATTTGTCTTTCTCTATGCTTTGCAAGCAGCTTTATTATATATATTGTTGGAGGGTTTTTTGAAAAAAAAATGAATATTAAATATTGAATTTTATAGCAATGATGAAGACTTTTTAAAAAAAACATGTTTGGTTGTGTTTACATCATTATGCTATCTGTTTCCATGAATGGTTGGGTTCTGTACAATATTTACTATACTGATATCTTGTTGTTATTGTGCATTTCTATCTTATTTATGGAGACCCTAAGGCCAAACTGTAATGGGGTTTCCTTAACAAGATTTCTTCAGAATGGGTTTGCCGTCAGCCTACTCTAAGGATGAGAGTGTGGCATGCCCATTGTCACCCAGTGGGTTTCCATGGATAAGCAAGGGTTTGAACCCTGGTCTCCTGAGGTCCTAGTCCAGGACTCAAACCACTAAACCACACTGGCTCTCTGTAGATTTCTACAAGACTAATTTATGTGCATTTTAATATCATTTTCATGGGGTTTGGAATCAAATCTTTCAGGTACATTTGTACAGCTTTTGGTTGGGATATAAATTCTTGTATGGTGTTTATTCCTTCTGATCTTATCTACAGTGTTGCAGACGAGATGGTGAAGAATGTTAATTTACATCAAACTGATATATTCTGAACTATCTCTGTTGTTTTTGTTTGTTGTTAACTGTCCCTGAGTTGGCCTTGATTCATGAACACCCTGTGAATGAGACACCTCCATGCCCCACTGTCCTCAATTGCCCTGTTCAGGTTCTGCAGACTCATTGTCGTGGCCTCCTTGGTTAAATTTATCCATATGGTATGCATTCTTCCTTGCTTTCTACTGTGTTCCACCTTCCCTAGCATTATTGTCTTTTCTAGTGAGTCATGTCTTCTCATTTTATGACCAATGTATGACAACCTCAATTTAGAGCCTGAACAGACTGCCAGAAATAATCCAGCTTGAGACCACTTTAACTGTTCTGGCTCAATGCTAGGGAAACATGGGAATTGTAGTTTTTCTGGGACATTGAGCCTTCTCTGTTAGAGAGCTCTAGTGCCACAATAAACTGCAGTTCCCATAATTTCCTAGCACTGAGCCAGAGCAGTTAAAGTGGTCTCAAACTGGAT